ATTTCATTAACCACAAGTAATGTATTGATTCTTATCCTCTGAGCAATGTTTGGAAAAGGAACTAAAAGATTAGGAGCTTGTATTTCAAAAGTAACTAAGAGATTAGGATTTTGTATTCAAGTAGCCTTAGTCTTTGACTAGCTGCAAATACTTTTTCCCTAAGTCTTTGACTAATTGCAAATAATTTTTTAAAGTAGTGGTTTTAGTTCATTACTTTGCATTGGTATAGCATTGGATTGGGTAATTTGGATGTATGAAAATATGTTTCTGCCTTATTTGTCAATGTCCAGCTCATAATAAGATGGGGATGAAGTTCAAAAACCAATTGCTATTAATTTCCTTTTCTCTGTCATTTCCCTGGATGTATCAGGAATGTGTCCACCCTCCTTTTGATTGCTTTAGCTCCGGTTGATTGCAACTCCCATTAGGTCTAATTAGGGAGAATTTGTTAACCATTGAATGATGTGCCACAATAAGAAACTAGCTTCTGGACATCAGTTATTTTTTAGCTCATATACTTTAAGCTTGTTTTTGGTTTATTTTGTTTGTTTTAATTTTTTAATTACTTTTCTTCTCAGGAATCAGTAAAGACTAAACACCCTCAGCTTCACTATGAATCCAAGTTGTACATGCTTCTTCAAGGCGGAAGTGAGTTTTCTCCACTTCTCTCTCTTCCCTTTTAGTTTGAGTATGACTTCATATTGGTTAAATTGTAGTTTTATGAAATTATTCTGTATTTATCTTTGAAGCTGGTATTCCCCACCTAAATGGTTTGGAGTTGAAGGTAATACAATGCCATGGTCATTGATCTTCTGGGCCAAGCCTTGAGGACTTGTTCAACTACTGTAACAGGAAGTTCACATTAAAAACTGTTCTAATGCTTGCAGATCAGTTAGTAAGTTCTTTGTGCTTTGATAATTTTTGCCAGGTGACTATTGTGTCTCTACTTTTATTTATTCTGATGTTTTCCATAGATTAATAGAGTTGAGTTTATGCACTCAAGAGGTTTTCTTCATCGTGATATCAAGCCTGATAACTTTCTAATGGGATTAGGGCGTAAAGCAAACCAGGTATGCACTTCTTTGATGCTCTTTTGCATGCTTGTCTTGACTTTTTCATACCTATTTTGTTTTCAACAATGTAGTTAATGTAGGATTATTAATATTACTTTGACTTCTCTTTGGAACTTGATGCTGAAAATACAATTTGAAAATTTAAGTGTTTTTTTTTTTTTTTTTTAAATGGCATCTGCCAAATACGCCAAATTCTATAGCATGAAAAATAATATGTTTATAGCAACACTTTTTGTCTAAATATTGCTACTACCACTTTTGCTTTCATCTTTTGTTTTTATACTGTAGCATTTCAGATGTAGGGTATAAATAATAGGGAACTTTATTCACTTAGCTGATTACAAGTTATTTTGGTGGATTGTTGCTATCTAGTTAATTCGGTTCTTGGAGGATTCAGTGCCTTGCTTTTGTCATTGTGCCAAATGTTTGGGGTGCTTTAGTCCTGCTGAGCTTTGGAGTGGCTTAGATGGGTAGAGCACCCATGCTTAGGAAGGGCTTGATGCTCAAGCCTCAACAATGATTAGGCAGATGGTAACCATGAAGGTCATGATCCCTTGAAGGGTGTCTGAGCTCATGCGGAGTGCTTAGCATCCCACTCTAGCATGTTGCCCCCTGAGCCAAGCCTCACTTAGTAGGACAAAGTCACAAAAATCCATTTAAGCATTATGCAAAGCCAAATAGTTATCTTGAGGATTTGTTGCTTGAAGGATTTAGGGTCTTTGAGGAGGTGAGGCCATGAAATCATTGCTCTAAGCCATGAATCACCCTGGAGAGAGAAGTATTTTGAGTTCTCCAATGAGGGTAACACCATATCCCTCATGTTAGTGAGTGGAGGGACTCGCTCAATGTCTTGACAATGTTAACTATTAATCTCCAAATTGGCAACTGGGCAGTAATCTTAGAGTCTTGATGAGGTTGCTACCTAACTCCGAGTGGAGAGGCAATTATGTGGGTTTAGTGTTAGAGATAGTGGTTTGATTTCTAAGTAGGGCCAATGCTTGTGGTCCTTTCGATTAAGGTTAAGGATGGGTAATCTCCATGTGCGACACTTGGAACCAACCTTTTAGGTACTGTTCTAAAATTTGGAACCAAAAGGAACCTCTGTGAAATTGTGTGGGTTCCGTTTTGGTCCTATAGTTCTAGTGTCATGGATGGAACATGGTTGGCTGTCGGCCCATTGAAGGGAGAGTGATTTGAGCTGTTCTGGCCGGAGAAGTGCAATGGAAGAACTGTTGAGCTTTCCCCTGTTTCCCTTGCAACCCAACCTCATGACCAGTAGTAGCCAAGATCTCCCTTTGATGGCTCTACAACCCTTCAGGTTTTGCCTGTGACACTAGGGTCTACCTTAAAACATGTAAATGTTTTAATTATTATTTTAACTTACAGATCTTAATTTTAACGATTAGTTTAAAAAGTGAGACACTTTTGTTTTCAAGTTATGAAATATTTACTTATTTGTTTCAAAACAAAGCCTCTTTGTCCTGCCTCTAACAAGCAATGAACCCTAATCAATGAGTAAGGGGTGGAGCAGTGAGCCCTAATTGATGAGCAACAACAAAGCAATGAGTTCTAATTGATGAGCAACGTCAGAACAACCAGACTTAATTTTGAGAGATGATGAGTGATGGGGATTTGATGATGAGTGATGGGGAGATTTGATGGTGGAAATCATGGATTGAAGGACAGTTATAGACAGGGAAATCAAAACAGATCTATGTGTAGAAAGCAAAGACAATGACGGTGACAAACAACGGCATTGATAGTGGCAATGGCTGATGATAAAGGAAGACTAGTGGTGAAGATTAGTGATGAGCCTAATTGATGAGCGGTGGCAGACCAATGAGCCCTGATTGATGAGCAATGATAGAGTATGAGCCCTAATCATGAGCTGTAGTGGTGATGAGGAGAAATGATGGTGGCAATGGATGGTGACAAAGGACGATGGTGATTGAGAGAGTGAGATCAACACAGAACTAGGTGCATTGAGCAACGACAACAATGGTGGTAATTGATGGTGATGAAGGACGACAAGTATGAAGACCACGACGATGCAATGGTTGGTGAATAGAGAGGGTCGGTGGTTAGTGGCTAGCAATGGGATTTAGGCTTGGGTAGCAGAAAACAAATTTTGAGAACAACATCTTGTTTTGAAAGGCTACTCACTTTGGCTGGGTTCAGTTAGAGAGATAGGATATAACTAGATGGGATAGAGCTAATAATTTTATTTAGATTGCACAATATTTATATGATGTTTGGTAACATTTAGCTAAAATGATAAGAGATAGCAAAATAAAAAATATTTTACACAAAATACCCTTGTGAGCACTATTTATCATCCTTGTCCTTGTGAGGCTCGGAATTTGGCCCCATTTGGTCTTTCTTTGTATGAATAGTAGGAGCATTTCAGTCAAAAGAAGAAAAATAAAAAGTTTAATAAAGGCTGCTAAAACTATCACACCCCCCCCCCCCCCCCCTGTAACACTATCCTTCTTCTGCTGATACTTACCCATCTCATGGTCTTCAATTTTGTGAAATGTGTACAGAATGTGTGAGATGACGGGATAAGTTTATCTTATCCTACCTTATCACTCCAACCGAACGCACCCTTTGTGAACTTTGTTTTGAAAAACTGATAACAGAAACAAGTGCCTTAACAAGTTTTCTGGTTGAATTTTGTTCTCAAGGAAAAAAATTGTTTTCAAAAACTAAACCAAATAGAACTTTGCCTTTAGTAGTTATTTAATATGAAAATATGACACGTTCTTCATATTAAATTAAATGCTCGAACCATACTTTGGAAAAGTTCATATTAAATTAAATGCTTGAACCATACTTTGGAAAATAAGTGCTTGATCCATACAACTTGTTAAATCAAAAGTATCCAAAAATAAACAAAAATAACAGTGAATGTAAAATAATAAGGTATACTTCCAAATCTGTTCTTTCAGGTCTTGTTCCAAAGTGGTTCTATGAACGCTAGTTGACTGGTTATGTTGGGGTGGATAAAGTGTTAGAATCTAGAACATGCTCGAAAAAGACTGCTGCTAAGTTTTCAGAACTGAAACCTACTTCACTTACCCATAAAACCACTGAAGAACCTACATCTGAATGTTGGTCCAACTGCTTCTTGAATATACTTAGTACCCATGATCAACCCTACTTTAGATATTGTGGAGTCGTGTGGGATGTAGACATGTGAGCTAATGTGGTAATATTGTTTTTGATGCCTCCATGTTGTCATCTTTATGGCTAATCATGTACGTGGTCAAAAATCACTTATATGTTCCACTTCTGGTAAAATTCCCAGAGCATCCCTACTGTCTATAGTTTTTTTTTTTTATATTTATTTTTTATCTTATATTTTGAGAATAAGGTTAAGTTGCGTCATCTATGAGAATTTCCACCAGTTATTTTATTTAGAAGAGCTCATCTTAATCTCCATGGAGATTACTACTGCCTCAGCTGGCTGTGGTTTACTTAAAGTCTTTGACATATGTATATAATAAGTAGTTGATATGTTGATTTGAATAATTGTTGTGTGTTTGTGAGAGCATTAAAACCATGATGGATGTACAGCATAGATAGAGTGGTCTTTTATTATCTAGTAATGTTATTTTTGTCAAATACTTGATTATTTGTGTTAACTGTAAATGTAGTACTGGGAAAGGACAGCTGCAGTGCATCAGTTTCTGTCCCTCTTGGGCTTTTCTTTCTTTCTTCCCACTTACGGGGGGGAGGAGGTGTTAAATATAAGGATACTTAAAATCTCACATTTGGATGGGTTATTCCCATGGTTTGAACCCAATGTCTGGGTTGTGGTTTAGCAATCTTTAACCCTTATAATGTGTGTGCAGTCACATAGTTTTCCTGAATTATCCATAGATTGATTTTCATTTTTTGGTTGGCAAATAACTTTCCAGTTTGTCAAATATTTGTGTGCGCTTCTTAGCTTAGACTTACTGGCCATTTTTTTTCCCTAGATGTGAAACTCTGCTTAGGATTTTCTTATGCAATTATATCATTGTGTTTTCTAATTTTTGTTCCTTTTTGTTGAACAATAGGTTTATGTCATTGATTATGGCCTTGCTAAGAAGTATAGAGATCTTCAAACACACAAGCACATACCATACAAGTAAGTGAAGCAACTTTATTATGTTTGGACATTTAAGAATTCTACTTGCTGGTTTCTACCTTTCACTTGGCTTGACTGTATCACTGACTGTGAATTGATTGTATATTCTATTGCTATTCATTTCCTTGTTCATCTGGGCAACACTTTGTTTCAGTTATTGCCTTTTTATGATTATCCCCCATTACATGATCATGAAGATTATCCTTTGCAATTATTCTGCTGTTTACTATACCGTTGGTGCTTGGTAGCAGATATGAGTAGCCTTTTTTCTACATGAAAGTTGATTCACTATGTATTTGTTTTCAGCAGCATCCTCAAAGATTGCTTTAGTAAGTTTCATTAGCTGTCAAGTTGGCTTCTGGAAATAGTGAAGTTTTTGAACTATTGTGTTTTAACTATCTATTATTAATTTGTTTGTGGGGGTCATAAAATAGAATTAGGATCAAGGTGTTCCTTTGTCAAGGAGATGAACTGAAAAAAGAGAGTTCAAATCTTTGGCATATTTATGCCTGAAAGGGTAAGCAGGAACTGTGATAAATATGGAGCAGCAAATTGGATGCTAAACTTTCATTGATTCTGCTTCTTCTGTTCCTTGAACAATTACTTTTCTGTTTTCTTTTTAAAGATGTCAAGTGCAGCTGGATGCAAACTGGTGATTGGAAATTGTAAAGGCTTGCATAACATGAAAATACCAGATTGAGGCTGAGCAGGGTTAGCAAGGAGATCTTTTAATGTTCATATCCTCAGATATATGCTAAAGATTGTGGACTCTAATACTCACACCAACTTCTATGACGAGCACAGATTGAATAGTACATTTTCATTATTATTATTTTTCTAAGTGCTGGTTTAGGGATTCTATACAAAGAGAATTACTTTTTGGGTAAACTTTTAAGGTCTTACAATCAGCAAGAAATATAGTTCATGTAAGGGATCTATTAAAAATCTGACAACTGAAGGAAACATGTTGCCTCATTACCCATAAACCTGGAATTTTTTTGCCTACCAAAAGCTTTAGCTGCTTCCTTTCATCATGTTCCTTCAGGAAAAAAAAAGGGAGAAAAATGATTCTATGGCGAAGTCTTCCTAATGACTGAAGGTTGCAAGATCTTTCAGATTTTTCTTTATGTGGAGTTTATTCAATTATTTTAAAGACATTTAATTAGTTTTAGATTTATCTATTAGGAATTGGACTCACCTTAGGAGTTTTAGTTTATTTTGCAAGTTTAGGAAACATAATTAGTTTGGGATTTGATATGAAGTTATAAAACTAGTTATTTAAGGTGTTGAATTTCAATCTTTGATTATGTGAAGGAAAGATTTTGAGATTGTATGAGTTTTTGACTTTTGATTGGAATTTATTTGTTTGGTTCTACATGAATTTGATTATAGAGCCAAAAAAGAAAAATCTATATGCCAGCTTTGCTTTTTGCCTTGTGTTGTAAAAAATTTAAGGTGTATGGTCCCAAGTTTTTGTCCTAGAGTTCCCAGATTGACAAACAAGAAAAATCGCATTGTCATTAGGGTTTCCATGACTTTGGTTGCTTGTGGTGGGATAGTCATTCATTCCAGCTTTGCTTATCACCATGTACCAGGCCTTAGTTCTTTGAAGTGGAGTGTATTCTTTGAATTTCTGCCTCTTCGTCCTTGTTGTCAGCCTATCATCATTCTGTGATACTGGAATTCCTGCCATGCTTGTCCGTCTTTAAACTAGGTCAGAGTTCTAGACCTTATGTGATCAATTAAGTTTTAAAGGAAAGAGGGGCTGATGTTCCTTACCTGACTTTGTACTTTTGAGTGCTGGACTAAATTAACCAAAATCTAACTCAACCCAAGTTAAGCCAACTATTTTAGTTGCCTGAACCTAGGCCTCCTGAGTATCCAAACCTGATTTCTTTTGTTCTGACCCAGGTAATTTCAACCAGATCCAATAGCCTGGAGGCCTGGATCCAAAGCATTATTACTATTGCCTAGCCAAACTCTTTTTACATTCTAACTGGAACCAACTAAAAAGAATTCTTAAACCTCATTCTACCATAAAAGGGGTCTTTTTTATTTTCAAGGTTTGGAAAAAATTTTGACCTCCATTCTACCAAAATAGGAGGCCTTTTTATGCAATGTTTGCATATGTACCCATGAAGATGCTATTGTCAGCATTGGACAAAATGATCAATTGGACAGGTGGACTATACGAGTCTGTGTCGAGTTTCATATTCTATGCAATATGGGAAGGGTATTTATGTTTTTGTCCTTTATCATTGGTAGGGTGACTTGAGCTCTTTTCTTTTAAGCCTAAAGTGATTTTGTTAAATATTAATTGATGAACAGATATATCCTGTCACTATTGGTGTCCTGCACCACTTCTCCTGTCCTTATGGATTCCTTGATAGGATTTATATATAAACCAAAGGAATCTGCCATTGTGCTCAATTTAATCACTTCAATTTTTTTTTTTTGGCTATTTAATAACCTCTGTGAGTAGATTGTTTGATTGAATTCATCTAGATGGCCATTTTTTTCCCACCATGAAGGATTTTGAGATTAGATATAATGATGATTATTTATGGGATTCTGCTAGGACATCATTATGATAAGAGATCTCCAGAGAAATATGTGAATTTGAAACAAAAAGGTTGATTAGATTTTAAGCTGTCTAGAAGAGATACAATCATTTTGGTTTTGGTACAGTCAAAACTCAGAATGCAAGGCAAGAGATTAGTGAGAATTCTGATGTGTCTTTGACGGACCTACTGAAGCAAATTCCGATATTTTGACACTTGTGGCACCAGAGAATTTGAAGATGAAGAGGCTATTATAGTCAAAGCAATCAACAATTTTGAGATCGAGAATGAGAATCTGGCTGATAATTAAGAATCAATTACGGATGAAGTTGGACAAATCAAAGTTGTAAAGGAGATTGAACTTGATGATTCCATCATTCAAAGAACTAGAAAATTGAAGAATAGCAACCTGTGAAAGAATCTTTCATTCTAGATGTATTTGGTGTTCCAAAAGAAAGGAATTAATTTAATTTCTTTCTCTTGTTTCGTCTTGCGGATGAATAAGTTGTCAATGCAAGTTTGAAGGGGCAGAGATCTTTATCCTTGGACATTTTAAAACTGGAGGACAACTTTTGATTCTGTGGGAGAATAATAAATAGTGCATTTTAGAATTATTTTTTTAGAGTTTGTTTTTAATTATTTTATGAGTTTGACTAAATTTTGATCATGTTTAGGAATTTCATTCATCTAAGGAATTTTAAATTATTTGGAATTTTAGGAAACTCAATTAGTTTAGGATTTGATATCTAACTCTAAATATTTCTCTAATGTATTGAAATTTTCAGCTTTCCATTAAGAATGGATATTAATAATATAGGGAGTTTTGAGATTGTGTGAATTTCTTTCCTGGATTGCTCATACAGGCTTCAAGAAGTCCATACCTGTGTGTGTTTGTGTACACATATTTGTTGGTTTTCTTGCACTCACTACAATTTGGCATAAAAAATGGACTGAGGTTAGCAACCTGGTGATTTTCTTCAGGCCATATCTTTCTGATTATGGTAAATAACTACTATGTTATTTGTTGTCCTTGGGAAATTTAAGACTCATTAAATGATAAATCTGAAATGCTTAAATATGTGATGGAAGGTAGTTTCTGATGCTTAAGTGATAAAATGTGGTTGTGTGTGTGTGTGTGTGTGAAACAGTAATGGAGCATGAATGTAATTGTGACCATTCACCAATGAGTATATGAATTATTAAATTGACTTTGACGTGGTTATGAACTTGTTTACATCTGAACTTTTGCTGTCTTTTATTAGTATTCTCTTGGTGGAAATTTGTCATCAATACTTATCCAATCTTTTTATTACAGAGAAAATAAAAATCTCACAGGCACTGCTCGTTATGCTAGTGTTAACACACACCTTGGAGTTGGTGAGTGAATGCTAATTATTGCAGCTATTGGTTGAATATGCTGTCATCGATTTTGTCTACTGTTTACATTTTTAAGACTATTCATTTCTTCTATAAATAATTTCTACCATTCCATGCAGAGCAAAGCAGAAGGGATGATCTAGAGTCTCTTGGCTATGTGCTTATGTATTTTTTGCGGGGAAGGTGGAACATCTATCTGATGGAAACTTTATTTTCATTTATTTACTATTTTAGCTTCTGTGTGTTTCTAACTCAGTTCCTATCGTTTCTTTCTAGCCTTCCTTGGCAGGGTTTGAAAGCTGGCACCAAAAAGCAGAAATATGACAAAATTAGTGAAAAGAAGATGCTTACTCTGTAGAGGTATCTTAGGTGCCTCTTAAACCTGTTACCGAGTGAATTGCTGAGTGTAATTGAATTATTGTTATCTAGTTTCTCAGCAAATGATCACCGTGTTGTGGGTTTCCAATCTGTTACTGATACAATTGTTAAGTGTAACTAAATATATGTCATCTAGTATCGCATTGGATCATCCTTTGTTGGTTTTCTGTCCCTTTGTTTTTTTTTTTTTTTTTTATTTTAAATATAGTGGTGGCTTCCGCATTTGGGACACTTGGGTGTTCATAATTTACTTCTTACATGATTCTGCAGGTGCTTTGCAAATCTTATCCATCAGAGTTCATATCATACTTCCATTATTGTCGGTCATTGAGATTTGAGGACAAACCAGATTATTCATACCTTAAGAGGCTCTTCCGTGACCTGTTTATTCGAGAAGGTAAACTTATTTCTGAGTTCCTATGCTGTTATCAATAATTGTCTATTTGTGCCTGCATCTTGTCTTCTCTTTTATATTTTTATTTATTTTGCGGGGTTGGATATGATGTTCTATTTGAAGCTGAAGCCCACTTCAAGCAAGGGAAGAGTCTTGATTTGCTTTTTTTTCTTTTCAATATTTTCTGCATCTAATTGGTGCAGGTTATCAGTTTGACTACGTGTTTGACTGGACAATTTTGAAGTATCCACAGATTGGTAGCAGTTCTAGATCACGGGTGAGTACCTTCCACAAATTCTTGTAATTCAAATATATTTAGTAAATGACCATTTTGGTATCTCATGTTTCAGCAGGCAGCCGGGAAGTCAGGTTTGAACCCTGGACCTTCTGCAGAAAGAACTGAAAGGACTCAGGGTGTGTTTTCTCTTCTCAGAAAGTTTCATAATTGAGCTAATAATTTGTTTTTTCCCTTTTTATGTGACTGGGTATTTAATTTAGATCTTTAAAAGTAGTTTTAGATCCTTGGGCATCTGAATGTTGGCTTCTGCTATTCAAGCCTTATATTTAGACTTCCTATGTTAATGGTGATGAAACTAATTATTGATCTTGGATTTAGTATAGCACCTTAGTTTTAAATTAGTGTTAGCTTGTATCTATTAACTTTTGATTCCTAGAAGTTCTCTGATTGAATTTCATTTATAATGAAAAGAAGTTTATTCTGCATTTGCTGTTTTATTATTTAGTAAGGCAAGAAATCCGAGATAAATTCTCAGGTGCAGTTGAGGGATTTGCTAGAAGAAGTGGTTCTGGTTCTGGTCTGCGAGGTGAACACTCCAGATACAGATCTTCAGAGGATGTGCCATCATCAAAAGATGTGGTGAGTAGCTCTGTTAATAAAATACGGTACATGTATTCTGTTTAAATGGAACGTGAATTCATGTGTTGGATTGGTTCAGTTCTTGGAAATATGGTCAAAGAAACAGTCAAAAAATAATTTTTTGTGAAAAACAATATGTATCATCCTATACCTATATATGGGTTTAGTATCACTATTTAAAAAAAATACAGGAATAATCCATGTATTTCTGGGGTTGGAAGAGTACCAGGAGTAATATCTGTGATATGTATAATCTGGTATGTTCAAAAAAACAACTGGAAGTATTCTTCAGAATTCAGATGTTATAATACTCTAATAATATGCGTGTGACTGACATGAGTTAGTGTCTGTTTGTTAGACCTGGGCTTCTAAGCTTTTAGGTTTGTTAGCCCAGATTCCAAATTAAGGTTAGATTTAAATAATTAAGAACTTGTTTGGCACACAGTTTGAATAAGTTGGCTTGTGGGCTTCTGATAAGTTTGGTATCCTTGGTGCATTACTGGCTTTTTTAAAATAAATTGTTGTAATAGTCATTGAGCAGAATTAACACAGTTCAAAGACATTAATCCCTTGGGTAATGTTGTCTTTTTGTGCATCTGGTTGTTAATTGTTAACTAATGTGAGAAGCTTAGAAACCAATTGGTAGCTTTTGGCTTATAAAGCCTTTTAGACCTTTAGGCCAGCTAGAAAGCCCAAAAAGCAGGCTGTCAAACAAGTTTAGTAGTCTGAACTTCGAAGTTCAAAAAGTCACGTCTGCCAAATGGACTCTAACTCTATTTGCTTGTTTCTTCCTTACTTGGGCCCATTTTTGCCTTGAACTGTGTTGCATGCTCTTTGCTTTCTCACAGCAAGCTGACTCAGAGAGAGGCCGCACTTCTAGGAATGGGAGTACTTCAAAAAGGATGGTCATGCCAAGCAGCAGGCCAAGCTCATCTGGAGAGGCGGGTGAGAATCGGCTTGCTCGTTTGGGTTCGAGCAGTGGTAGGATTTCTACCACGCAAAGGACCCAACCTGGATTTGAGTCTAAATCATCGTCTTTCACCCGAGCTGGAGCTATGAGAGCCAGCCGCGATGATCCTCTACGTAGCTTTGAACTGCTGACAATAGGGTCGGGAAAGAGGAAATAAAGACAGCTTTCAAAAGATCTGCTTTGTCAATGGCTTATTACTATCTGCAGCTTTTCTGAAGAAATCAACTTTATTGTTGGGTTCACGTGAATGCTAATGAAGGATTTCATTCACAGCTGAAGTTCATATTTGGTAGTTTCAAGAAGACCAAGAGCATTTCAATTTCAAATTCTTCCGGAATCACTCAATCTTGCTATTATTGTATCTTGTAATCTCACTGAACTAAAAGAGAGAAATATGTTCTATCTCAAATTTAGGGAAATGTTATATATGATGTCTCAGTAGCTGTAATAAGCACATCTGTTAATTAGTCATGTGATTTGGTGATACTTTAACGCAATGTATGTTATGGTTCTTTATAAACAGTAATCTATGATCAAGGAGGCAGAGCATGAAGACACAAAAAGTCTCCTTCAAATAGAGTAATTCAGGAGTAAGTTCCAAGGAAAGTTTTCCAAGGGAGTGTAATTTTTAAGCTAGTCTTATTTTTTAAGTACAATGTCTGAAGCAAAGGGTGGTTTCAAATCTATGACAACAGGGAGGGCCAGGGTAGGCTTTCAAAAGGTTTGATTTTGCGGTAAATTTTTAAGCCAAATGATCTCGGTTTTTGAAAAAACAAGAAGGAAGCAAAACCTAAAGAAGAAAAGCTAGATAACTTTCATGTTCACAACTTAGATAGCCTGTCAATTGTAAAATAATTTGGGAAAATTAACGAGCTGAACAGTGTGGTAGTTTTAATTATTTAGATAGTTAAAATATAAAATATTTTTATTTTGGATTAATAAAATATTATTTAATTAAAGACATTTTGTATTTTTTAAATGTTTTATATGTAGATATTTGCTTGGAATTGTTACAAGTATGGGCACGTTTGGTAGGGTGGATAAGGATAATTTATCCACTCTTATTTATCCGACGGATTCATGTTTGGTAGTTAGATAAAAGAAGATCGGATAAAGTCCGGGTAAGAGAGAGATTGGATAATAGCAGAGTCAAATTCGGATAAATTTATTGGGGGAAGGGGTAATGTAATTTTATCTAATTCTTATTTAACTTATTTGGACAATACTATCCCTACTACTATCACTAGTCGTCACTCCTCCCGCTATCTCTGTTAAACAATATAATTATCCAGATTATTATGCAGTCAAGATACTTTATCTAACTACCTGTCCATCTTACCTCATCCAATTCAATCTATCAAACGACTCTTATGTATATTTTGAAATTGCAAATGTGTGTTAATTAGGTAATTTTTTTCTTCTAGCCCCGGATAGAATTATTTTATGCTTTGATCCTCCAAGTAATTAGAATACCAAGTTGTCTTGTTCCATAATTTTTCCTGATAATTTTTAGAGATCAAAGGATATCTTGTTTTTATCTACTCTTATAATATTTTCTTCAAGGCAAAATAACTTACTATTTTTATTTGTGAAAGAGAGAAAAATATACTAGCAAACATAGAAATTGAGCAGATTGAAAATCAAGATTAGAATTTTATTCTTGGTGCACATTCTTGATTGTGAAAATTAATGAATCAAACTTTTTTTTACAAAATAACCACAAAAAGAAAAAAAAAACATATTTAAAAATTTGACAAATAACAAAAAACAAATGTAGGGCTTTTTCCACTTTAATATTATATATTTTTTATTTACCAATATACTTAAAAAAATATTTACCAAAATTCTCAAAACTTACTCTATTATAGAATTTGGTTCAGGCCAAATCAACTTCCTTTGGGAAGTTGGTTTCCATTGAAATGACTTTTGTAAGGAAGTTAGTTCGCAAGAAGTCAGTCCACACCCGTCACCCTATTCGTCCACCTCCAGCTTGGTTTACTTACTGTGTAGCATAGTTCACCTACCCCTAGCTTGGTTCATCACTCACTCCCAACCTAATTCACTTGCCCCAGCTACTTGTCAACCTGGTTCAACTAGTCTCCATCCATTCTTAACCCAGTTCAACCGTCATCCACCCAATTTAACTAACACAATACCCAGTTCAACCACCCTTAATCTTGATCTAAGTAACCCTAACCTCGATTTACCAATCTTAACCTCAATTCAACCGGCTCTAACCTAGTTCAACCACTTTTAAACCCCTAGTTTAATTAACCCCAACCTAGATTCAACCAACACTAACCTTGATTCAACAAGCTCTACCCCTAGTTTAACCACCCATAACCTCAATTTAAGTAACCCTAACCTTGACTCAACCAACCTAACCCCAATTCAACTAACTCCAACCTCGATTCAACCAACCCTCATCTTGACTCAATCATCACTAACTTGGTTCAATCACCCTTTACCCTGGTGTAACCAACTCTAACCTTGATTCATCCAACCCTAATGTTGGTTCAAGGCTCAACTTTTTGTTTGTCTCATTTTGAATAAATTATTTTTTTTGAAAAAGTAAACAAGATATGGCATTTCAAATTTGTGTTGTGATTGTATTCGCTATGTAAAAACACTAATTTTTATTATTAAATGACCAATCCTTGTTAATCAGATAATATATAAGTGGATTCATGAACAATTCACAACCACATATCAATAAATTGATGAGACCCACACATTGAATCCATTCCATAATAACAATAATTAGTTTTCAAACATGAGAATTAGGACATGGATGCCAAGAACGCAATCATATATATTGACCATGCGATAAACAAGTTCCATTGTGAGGGTCTCATAGTCATTTATCTTCTTAGACTATGAGCTCCACAACCTGGAGGATGTCTATTGTGTGGTAGTTGAACATGATGTCAATATTCTTGTCCTTCACCTACGTTTGAATTTGACTCTTGTTGTTATGAATGGATTTATTGATATATCACCGCGTTGCTCAAAGGGCCTGCTTCTTGTTGATGTTGTTGGTACATGTATGTTGGACCACCAAAACTTTGAAAATGTGCCATGTATGAAGCAGTAGGATCTAGAATCCTCATACATAGACTGAATAAATTACATAGATACTCCTTAAAAAAGAATGAATGACGACAACATATGTAGCTTCCTTCTTGTTGTGATAGAGTATGACTTGATGACATTTGAGCAGGTGAGGGCTACATCTCATGGACTTTAACATGGGGCATTTGTTAGGTGCACCTTTTATGGCCTTTTCATTACTGACTTGATATTGGACACTGAAATTCTTGAGTCACATAGAATGGGTCAGCAACTTGAACACTCCTCCCATGGGGGTTTTGTAAGTGCTCTGGGTATAACAAATATGACTTTGAGTTGATTAGAAACCATCCATGGCATTCTTTAGTTGGCAACAACTAGGGTGAGTAGGTGGTCCATGTAAAACATATGAATAATAGTTCCTCCATATGGAAGCCCCTTCTTGTGTTTCTCAACCTAGTTCTCCGTTTAGCTTCTAGATATGTCAACCATATACATGTTGCAAGGTTAACCGACAAGTGTGGAATCCCTTGCTGGAAGTTGAATTGGTGCCTAACCTTATTTGGTTGATGCCACTCAATAGTTGAGAAGCATATTAGGATGGTGCAGGTGTTCCATATATTAACATTGTCAAAGGCTTCTTTTAAAAGGTAGGACTGTAAATTTGCACGAGAATATAGAACCCACAAGAATTGCAAAATCCAAATAGATAAGTTCAAATTGTAGTGGTAATGATTATGTGCAATTGATCAATTAAAAATTATATTTACCTTACGGTGTTGGAGACGATCTAGACAGTCTATACAACATTAGGTTTCCATGAGGAATTCTAGAAAATGACAAATCACCAGTCCATCTATTGTAATTCAAGTAAGTTGAAGTTGATATAAATGTTATTATTACATGTAATGGATGGAATTATACATATATTAATTAATTTATCTCCTTGCAAGTGGGTAAGATGGTCTTAGATTTTACATGGTGCTATCAATGGCATCTAGTATCATTACTAAGATTGTAGAAGCCAGAGGCATTTATCCATGGCACATGAACCGTATGATAGTATGTTTGTGGCACAGCACATCTCTCTGCACAAAGTTGACAAACATATAGAACCCTAATTATATTGTCCAACGTATTCAAAATCTTCCAAAAATTATAGGTATATGTATCTGTGTTGTCCCAAAAAGGCAACCTAAGAGGGGGGGGGGAATTTGAGTTTTTATCACGGAAGTTAAGAGTGTGAAAAATTAAAAACAATAATAAAAATATTAAATCAAATAAACTTATGCAATTCACCTAATAATAAATATAAAATAATTTTAAGTAAAGTAAAGAGAGTAGGGATAAGAGATGTAAACTCTTTTATAGTGGTTCGACTTATTACCCAAGTCTACATCCACTCTCTCAAGTTTCAACCGCTGAGGTTCCACTAAATCTCTTGCACTTGATGGAGACAAGAAATCCCGAGTATAAACAAAGTCCCTTGCACTTGGCGGAGGCAAGAAATCCTGATTACAAAACTTTTGATTCAGTGAGCTTCAAACATCAATACAAATGGTAATGAAGATAAACTAGAAATGTAGCAATTCCTCTTAAATAGGATTAGCTACCACTCATATACAAAAATGATCTCACTTCAAAGAGGCACTCTCAAGAATAAAACAATTTGCTATATGCACTATTTGATCTAGTAATAAATAATGTAGCACAAAGAATTTTAGAGAAAAATTGATGAGACTTTGAGAACTTGTTGTTGTGTACTTCTTTCTTCAATCTATGCTCTTTTTATAGGCAAAAATACTAAAGAGACATTTGAGAGACGTTGGCCTTTGTGGAACACAAAATTATTTGTCAATAAAAAACTGCACATTGACTCATTTCAAAAATTCAAATAAAATAACTTCAAATGTTCAAAAAATATTAAAAAATTCTTGAATACTCAGCATTGAGTCTATTTTCAAATGCAAGAAAAATCATTAAATTATCATACACCGTTTGAGAGAAATGATTAAAAGATCAATGACATGTCAGACAGTAAAATTGCTTTTGACAAAAGTTGTTGGTCAATCTCAAAATTGTCTAGAA